ACGGACTACGGTGGCTACGGTGACTTCGGACTACGGTGACTACGGACATCTACGGACTACGGACTACGGACTACCGACGGCGACGACTACTACTACCACTACTCCTTCTTCATGCCTCACTACTGGCTCCTGGCAGCGGCAATTTGGAAAGAAACAACAGCCGCGCCTAGATTGCCCTGGCCCAAGGCTGTCAAGGCCTGCTTCGCAAGAGACGAGCGCGGTGTCCAAAACAGAGTTTTGCCAAATGGGTGTTTCCACAAACTAGGGGTACCCCTTTACTACCCCAAATAGAATCAGAACCGCCCTGAAAGGTACGCCTTTACTACCCCAAATAGAATAACAAAACCCCCTTAAAAGGGACCCCAGAAGGGTACCAGCACCCGTGTTTTCGGACCCCCAAAAAGGGCCTCCTGCCCCATGTCTCCCAGCATGTCCAGGGTCTTTTCACCTTCTGGCAGGACCTGGGCACATCTGGGAGATTCCTCTAAAGTAGGGTCCCCTTTTGGGATCCTTATTATAAGGATGCCCCTCTTATTTCTACTTTAGGGCCCCTTTGGGATCCTTATTATAAGGATGCCCCTCTTATTTAGGGTACCCAAAAAGGGGGACCATTTTGAGAAAGTCTCCACTCACGCAGCAACACTCGCCAGTTCGGGAATGCGCGAAACTTGGGCTGCTCAGGGCCCAGCGGGCGGCAGCATGTTGATGGGCTCATCAAGCACATTGTCGTCGCCCGCTGCCTTCAGCTTCTCTGCCATGGCCTTGACACAAAGGCTTGGAAACTAGGCCAGGGAGCTCGTTCACTTCTCGCAACATACCATTTTTTCAAAATTGTGAGAATAGTTATAATTATAATAAGAGCACCTTCGCCTCCTCCGCTGAGTTGAAGAGTTCTGGCAGGAATTGTGCGTGATTTGAAGGGTCCGGAACGTAACGCAGCGGCAAAGCTGATCCACGCAAGGCCATGCCGCAGGCGCTCTTGGCTGTGATGACCTCTTTCTGCCCTTCAGCATGCGCTTCCGCCTGCAGACGCCCAGACATGGAAAAGCACAAAAGCCTACGAGGCAGAAGTTCAATTGCAACGCGGCACGGATCCAGGGTGTGCAATCAATGAGGCTGCTCTGTAATTAGGATTCTACACATCGAAAAATGTAATAATTATTGCTATTCTTCTTCTTATTACTACTATCAATACCACTATTATTCTTCTTATTATTATTACAAAAATATTAGTATTACATTTTTAGGGCGGACCCCGAGTTAAGCTCCGGACCAACGACCACCATCCCAGCGCCCCGGCGGATGCCTGCCAGCCTCGAGAGGCCAGTGCCCACAAACGTCAGCGAAAAGCGTGAACCCCATCAATCCGAAAAAAAAACCTTTTGGGTTTAGGGTTTAGGGTTTAGGGTTTAGGGTTCAGCAGCTCTGGGTCGAGCAATCTCTAGTAGAGCCGCTGTCTGGACTCTAGAAAAAAACCCACCCACCCAGAGAATCCCAAAACATTAAGAAATATAAAGTTCACATTTTTCCTCAGCAAGCCCTGTCCTCCAACCTCATTTATTCATTCTGCTCGTGTTTTTTGTCATTCTGCTTGGTTTCCATTCTGCTCGTATGCGTTTCTTTCTGCTCGTATTCATTCTGCTCGTATTCGTTCTTTTTCTGATCGTGTTCGTTCTCGTTCCTGCTCGTATTCATTCTGCTCGTATTCGTTCTCTCTCTGCTCGATTTCAGTCCGCTCGTTTTCGTTGTTTTTCTTCTCGTATTCATTCTGTTCGTATTCGCTCTCTCTCTCTGCTCGATTTCAGTCTGCTCGTCTTCGTTCTCTCTCTGCTCGTAATCATTCTGCTCGTATTCGTTCTCTTTCTGCTCATATTCATTTTGCTCGTGTTCGTTCTCTTTCTGCTCGTATTCGTGCTTTTTCTGCACGCTCTCTGCTCGATTTCAGTCCGCTCGTTTTCGCTCTTTCTGCTCGTACTGAGTCTGCTCGTACTCATTCTATTTCTGCTCGTATTCATTCTGCTCGTATTCGTTCTCTCTCTGCTCGACGTCAGTCTGCTCGTATTCGTTCTCTTTCTGCTCATATTCACTTTGCTCGTGTTCGTTTTCCCCGGTGACCCTGCCTATTTTTGGCCGTCTTGTTGGTTGTGTTTGGCACACTTTAAGCTGCCTGGCTTCCACATGGTTGCTTTCCAGTTAGTGCCCCGGTGACCTCGCCTCATGTTGGCTCCTGCTCGTAGGGTTTGATGAGAGGCCTAGAGGTTTGTCGTATGTCCCCTCTCTTCGTGCTCGTAGGGTTTGTCGTATGTCCCTCCCTTCATGCTCGTAGGGTTTGATGAGAGGTCTACAGGTTTGTCGTACGTCCCCTCCCTTCGTGCTCTTAGATTTTGTCGTATGTCGCCTCCCTTCGTGCTCGTCGGCTTTGTCGTATGTCCCTCTTTGTCTGCTTGCAGAGAATCCCAAGAATTAAGAAACTGAGGTTTTATTTTCAGAGGTTTGTCGTATGTCCCCTCCCTTCGTGCTCGTCGGCTTTGTCGTATGTCCCTTTTCTTCTGCTTGCAGAGAATCCCAAAACATTGAGAAATGTGCGGGTTTATTTTAGAGGTTTGTCGTATGTCCCCTCCCTTCGTGCAGTTGCTTTTCCCCACCCCACCCTCGGACCACCCAAGATGAGAAACACTGAGAAGGGGCTGCTGCGTTGCCCGGCCCCGCAAAGCCTTCATCTTGATCTGGCCCAGACCCAGGTTTTCAAGCCCAGAATGGGGGTCATGTTGGCTCCTGCTCGTAGGGTTTGATGAGAGGCCTAGAGGTTTGTCGTATGTCCCCTCTCTTCGTGCTCGTAGGGTTTGTCGTATGTCCCTCCCTTCATGCTCGTAGGGTTTGATGAGAGGTCTACAGGTTTGTCGTACGTCCCCTCCCTTCGTGCTCTTAGATTTTGTCATATGTCGCCTCCCTTCGTGCTCGTCGGCTTTGTCGTATGTCCCTCTTTGTCTGCTTGCAGAGAATCCCAAGAATTAAGAAACTGAGGTTTTATTTTCAGAGGTTTGTCGTATGTCCCCTCCCTTCGTGCTCGTCGGCTTTGTCGTATGTCCCTTTTCTTCTGCTTGCAGAGAATCCCAAAACATTGAGAAATGTACGGGTTTATTTTAGAGGTTTGTCGTATGTCCCCTCCCTTCGTGCTCGTAGGGTTTGTCGAGAGGTCTACAGGTTTGTCGTACGCCCTCTTCCTTCGTGCTCTTAGGGTTTGTCGTATGCCTCCCTTCGTGCTCGTAGGGTTTGTCGTATGTCCCCTCCCTTCGTGCTCGTATGGTTTGATGAAAGGTCTACAGATTCGTCGCAGGTCCCTTCCCTTCGCGCTCTTAGGGTTTGTCGTATGTCCCCTCCCTTCGTGCTCGTCGGCTTTGTCGCATGTCCCTTGTCTTCGCGCTTGCTTTCCCCAGACCGAAGGTAGAACCAAAAGTGTTGGTCCGGATTGACAAAAAAACTAATTTGTTAACCTCCTGTTTTGTTTTCCCCCACCCCACCCTCGAACCATTCCAGTTCGAGCCAATCCCCAACCCACCCTAGAACCAACTACCCGTATTCGTTCTTTGTTGTCGGGGTGGGGGCGGGGTGCTGCTTGCTTACTTACTGGGTTTGTTCGTGCTTGCTGGGGCGCTGATTGCTTACATTCTGGATTTTTGCTTTGCTTGATGGGGCGCTGATCTAAAGTTCCCCGGTGACCGTGCTGGCCGTCTCGCTGGTTGTTTTGGCTGCCTGGCTTCCACATGGTTGCTTTGGAATTAGTGCCCCGGTGACCGCCTGTGTCTGAAAGTTCCCCGGTGACCGTGGCTCTTTTTGGCTCTCACCCCGCAAAGCCTTCATCTGGCCCAGACCCAGGTTTTCAAGCCCAGAATGGGGGTCTGGGCCAGAAGAGGCGCTTCAGAGGGGTTGAGGGGGGGGGAACGTGGCCATTGTGTCATTCGTGGTTGGCAATGGTTTTCCGCTTGGGAGGGGGGTGGGGGGGGGTTGGGATGGAGAGGGTGGGCGGGCTGTGGGGCGGGGGTGGGGTGGGGGGGGTGGGGGGGTGGGGGGG